GGACGGAGGACGGAACAGGGAACAGGGAAGGAGAAGGGAGGGAGGAGAGAGGACAACGAAGTTGTCGAGTCTGCCACATTAGACGCCCACGCGGGCCTCCGCCTGGCTTGTCGCCGCTTGGCGGGGCGCAGGCCTCTGAGAGGCCGCGGCCTGGGCAGGCGGGGCGGTCTGGGCCGCTGCTGGCTTCTCGCCGCCGCGCTGCGCGTCGGCGAGCTCTCGGGCGGGCCGCCAGCGGCGGCCCGCCTCGGACCGCCACTCGATGAGCTCGAGCGGGGGGCGCTGCAGAACAACGGCCTCCTGGTCCTTGTCCGCGTAGCCGCGTGCCGTCTGGAGGCGCTGGCGGAGGTACCGGCTGTCACCATTGGCGTCGTTGAGGTGCTTGCCTGCCGAGCTGTGGCTCGTCAGGTCAATGACCGTGACGCCGTCCATCTCCTTCGGGAAACGGACCAACCAGTTGGAGTACAACTGGGCCCGCTCATGGCGCAGGTGCCAAGCGTTCGGCAAGCGCATCGTCGCGTGCAGGAACGGCGACGGCGACGCAGGGTCGTTGCCGTAGGCGGCCGCCTCCAGCAAGACGGCGCGGAACTCGTCCTGGCTCAAGCAGCCGAAGTCCTTTGGTTGGCGCAGCGACACTGGCTTTTCGCCGCGCCGAAGGACTCTGTACAGCCACTTGTTGGCCCGGTGCTGGTGGGTGCACGGCTCGGTCGCGGCGCTTTGGAAGGACTCCGCGGGCCCCATATCGGAGCCCAGGTGGATGTTCAGGAGGGCCTAGCGGAACTTGGAACTTGGAACTTCGAAGTTCGAAGTTCGAAGTTCGAACTTCGGAGTTCGAACTTCGAACTTCGGAGTTCGAACTTCGAACTTCGAACTTCGAGCTTCGAACTTCGCGAGTCCCCCAGGGGGGAGAGGGGGGGGGGGGGGGGGGGGGGGAGGGAAGGGGGGCGGGGGGAGGAGGGAGGGAAGAGGGAAGGGCGAAGGAGGGAGGACAGAGGACGGAAAAGGGAGCAGGGAAGGAGAAGGGAGGGAGGGAAGACAACGAGGTTGTCGAATCAGCCACGTGCGACGCCCACGCGGGCCTGCGGCTGGCTTGTCGCCGCGCGCGCTGGCGGGCGCTGCGGCGCGGCCTTCTGTGGCGGCGCGGCTGCGGCGGCCGCGCCCTGCGCCTGGCCAGTCGCCGCGCGGCGGGCAGGGGGCGCCACTGAGTGGGGGCGCGGCGGCGGCTGCGCCGCGGCCCAGGCCTGGGCCCGCAGGAGCCCCTTGTCGCGCGCCTTCCGCTTGTCCGGGCAGCGGCCCAGGTGGCCCGGCCAGACGCGGCGGCGCGTCGACAGGTGGTCCAGGAAGGCCTGCGAACGCTGACTCCGACACTCCTCCCCGTCCTCCCCCTCCTCGTTTCCTCCCTCCTCCCCTTCCTCCTCCTCCTCCTCCTCCTCCTCCTCCTCCTCCTCCTCCTCCTTTTCCTTCTCTTCCTCCTCCTCCTCCTCCTCCTCCTCCTCCTCATCCTCTTCCTCTCCCTCCAGGTCCGCGGGGGCACCCTTCTCGGGCCGACTGGCTCATCGCCGCTTCACCCCCCTTCCCGGCTTGTCGCCGAACGCCCCCCCGCCTGCGAGGAGCGCCCCGTGCAGCGCCTGAAGAGGGCCGCGCAGACCACGGGGCCCCTGTGGAACGACTGGTTGCAGTGAACCAGCACGTCCCCTCCGCGGCGGAGCACGTCGAGGATCTCGGGCAGCTCCCTGTTCAGCGTGTTGTTGTTCTTGAACTCGTTGCCGCGGGCGCCCACCACGACCCACTGGCCCACCTCGCTTTTCGCCGCGCGTGGGTAGCGGTAGGGCTCCCTGTTGTGCGTGGCGTTCACGACCGCCTGCACGTTTCTGAGCGGCCCGTCCGCCCAGCACTCCTCCGTCTCCAACTGGCACCGCTCCGCCAGGATGAAGGAGCCCGTCAGGAAGCTCGCGCCGCCCAGGCAGTTCGCCTGCACCACAGTGGGCTCCTGGCGGCCGATGCGCCACGCCATGGCCCCACCTGGCTTTTCGCCGAATCCGTCTCGGGCGCGCCTGCTTGGGCCACAACGGCTAGGGTCGGCTGTCTCCGTTCCCTTCCCCCCGCCCCCCCGCCCGCCCCCATCCCCCCCAGGAAGGGGGGGGGGGCAAGAAAAGGCAGTGGAAAGCCTCGCCGCGGAACGCGGAAAAGAGAAACGGCGACGAGAGGAGGAGTGGAAGGACGAGACACGGGGAAGGAATCGAGGGTGGCACGAAGGACGGAGGGAGAAATGGCGAAGGGAACGGAAGGGGGAGAGGGACGGGAGGAGAGGGATATCAGTGAGAACAGAATGAGGCAAGCAGAAAGGAGGGGGGAACAGGGAGTGCGGAAGGAGGAAGGAGGAAGGAAGAGGGAGGGAGGGAGGGAGGAGACAGGAGAAAGAGGGGCGAGTGAGGAGAGAGGGGCGGGGGATGAGAAAGAAGCGAGGGGAAGGGGGAAGGAGGGAGGGCTGACGGAGGGGGGAGGGAGGGACTGAAGGGCGAAGGGATGCAGAGACGGAGAGAGGATGAAAAAGAAGGTACGCGTTGCACTCACAGCCGCGCGCGATATGGATACGTGGGCACACAGCTAGCGTCCAAGCCACGGCTGGATTCCAAGAGTGTCGATAGGAGCTGTCGAACGATAGTGTTGTAGGATGTCCGACTTCCGCTCTCTGTCAGCCGCTTCTCTTCAAAAGGAAGGGGAAGCCCACCACCCCCCAACGAAAAGCCAGATGGACGGACAACTAGAGCTCCCGTCTACCCACAAAGATGATGAAACGCAGGTAAGCAATCAGTCGCTCTACATATGATGTATCAATGGGCGACACTCCACACGTGGGTACGGCTTACTGGCTCAATGTGGGTGGGTACGCTTTGCAGGTTTGATGTTGCCCCCCTAAAGAAAACCTCAGGCGTGAGCCGTTGTAGTTGTAACCCGGGGGTCAGGGGGCCAGTTTGAGCATCAAGACTTTCCCTGCCAAAAAACAAGGTGCGAGCGTCGATGGGCACACTTTGATGGAGAAAAACAATATGCACCAGTGAGGGGGCGGTCAACAATAATTATTCTTCAGAAGTGAGAGTTCAACAACAACAACAAGAACAACAACACTAACAACAACAACAACAACAACACTTACTAGCACGTGGGGACACTCCGTTCTCACCAGTGCCAGGGTTTTCATAGGAGGCGGGCAATACCCCCACTTTGTGGGGGGGCCGGTTCAAGCTCTACCAAATTTCCAAACGACTCTTCGCCACCACCCACACCCAGCTTCCCGCCCTATGACGTTCGGACACTTCACTTCGTGGCATGCGGACGACCGTGGCTACTATTCAGGGCCCCGCGGCCGACGACGACGGCGTGCGCGCGCGAAGAAAAAACGAATGTGTCCCGCATGGTATTATTTGACAGGGATGATGGCCCTGGCAGGTGCGCAACCGTTGTTGCAGAAGTTCGAACAAGTTGCTCGCAAAAGCCCGTTTGACAGAAATGTTTAAAAAGTGTTGGGTTTCCTACGAATCCGCAAGAGCGCGCGGGATGAAATTTTGACATTTTTTTGAAAAACCATTGGTTTTTTTTTTATGTTTTTATGTTAAAATCGCTACGAAAACTAAGGTTTTGGAAGGATTTCGTCTTGCGCGCGCGAATGTCCACTTTACCTTATTTGTTGCAAGGGATTCTTGAAGTTTGGATATGTTAGAACAAGAAATGTCCACTTTAGCTTGTTTTTTGACAGGGAAAGCGGGCGTCAACAAAACAACCGGATCTGGATCACATCGTTTTGCATGAGACTTCCTCACGAAAATGATGAAAATGTGGCTGCGGCCTAGGCGCGGCGAGGGGGCCATGCACCAGGGGCCCCAACAATAATTATTCTTTAGAAGTAATAATGTTCAACAACAACAACAACAATAACAATAACAATAACAACAACACACATAACAATAACACTAGCAATAACAATAACAACAACAACAACCACAACCACAACAACAACAACAACAACAACAACAACAACAACTACAAACATGCTCAACAATAGCCAAAAAATAGTCCCCTTACTATTTCTTAACTATTATTGAATGTTCCCCCTGTAGAGTCACTGGCCCGACTTAAACCTAGCTCCCTATTGTCGTCCGACCCGAGTGAAGGAGAAAAACCGCCAGCGACTTGGTTGAGCCCCCTTCCCTGGATAGCCCCCCTGGGAACATGTCCGAATCCCCCTTCTTCTCTGAGCGGCCAATTTTTGTTGTGGGGGCGACGTCTCGTGGATTCGGGGAGATGAATCGCCTGCGACCGCTGTTGTAGAGCGGCTCCGGGGGGGAGGGGGAAGGCGCAGGAGGAGGGCAGGGGAGAGGCACAGAGGAGGGGGAGGGAAGACAATCTGGACCATCCCCACCCCCACCACGGAGATCTTGCCCCCGCCTAGTGGGGACGGGAGGAGTAGAGGCCCCCTAGATAGAGTCCGGGCACATAGGGTCGGAAAAACGCGTTGCATCGCCGATGCATCGGCGACGCATCGGCGATGCACTGCCACCGTCGGCGATGCAACGCCGCTGTCGGCGTAGCGAGAATCGGGCTCCCACATCGAGCCGCACCGCCGATGCATCGGCGGTGCGGCGCGACCCGCCGACCCCAATCTGCTCGGAACCGTTCTGGGGGAGGCCTGGAAGGAGAGCCCGCCTGCGACTGGATTCCGCCCCCACTCCCACCTACTGGGTGACCCAAAAGGGGGTCCAGGTGCAGGGGTGTGGTGCAATAGATTTGGGGCAACTGTATTGCAAATATATTGCGCCAGAGAATTGTATTGTATCTCGTTACAAGTCATGTATGGCATGCGCAAGTCCAGCAATACATCTGCGCCCCGGAAGGTATTGCACGCCCCAAATGTATTCCAGCATTGTAAATATCAATTGCACCACATCTATTGCACCGCCCCCTCTGTCGCTGGAACCCCCTATGATTATGGGTCAGCCCGACACCTGGAGGGCCGCCGTCGCCAGCATCCCTGCTGCGGGCGCTCCCCGCAGGCGACCCGGCCGACATCGGGGGGGACTTCGGAGCGGGCGGCGGGGGCCGGGCCGCGCGCGCAGGCGAGCTCGGGCCGCGTGCTGCGTGCTGCAACTCCGCGGGGGGGGGGCGCCTCGGACGACGCCAGGACGAGGATCCATTCGGGCGACAGTACGCCGAGGATTTGGAATCCGGCGGCTCTGGAAGAGGTGCCGGGCGCCGCGGCCTTCTCAGGGCGATGCGGAACGGTCCGACAGCGTGCCGGGACGCTCTGGAAGGGACGCATCCTCGTCCCAGCCCCGTCCGAGCACCGTGACAATTCTTTCGGGTCCGCGGGCGCAAACGGGCACGAGGCCGGTGCAGATGCCAGTCATCGTTAGAAGGGGAGCTCCAGAAGCGAACTGAAGCACGAAAGAGCGCGGGCAGACAGGAGGGGACGAACGGGAAGAGAGGCGGTCAGAACATGCAACAATTCTTCACGGACGTGCCGAAGAGAGGCAGCCACGTGGAGCCCACGTAAAGGAAAACTGACAATTTGTGTGGCATCTCGCGGGAGCCTCCAGTGCCATCTTGCTGGCTGTTGCGGAGCAGCGCAGGCCAACGCCAGATCGACGCTGATCGACGCAACATCGGCCCTGTCCCACCGATGACCAGACGCTATCTCACGCCACTGCTTTGTAGCGATGGAACCCCGAGGACAGACCAGGCTCCCCTAGACTGCAACAGAGTGGAGCTCGCCTGCGGCTGGCGACTCGGTCGCGGGGGTTCGAAGATCATTTTGGCCCCCTGCGTTTTTAAAGAAACCCTACATGGGACGCGGTGGGCAACCATTTCGCTTTCGTCTGAAAGAAACCGAATGCTGGAAAACGCGACGTCGGCAACGCCAGCGGCAATCACAACGGCGATGACAATGATCGAGAAAGTTGGGTTGCGGGAAAGAGGCGTACCGCGGTCGCGCGGCGGCGCGGGAACCGAGCGCGCGGCGGACCTGGCAAGAGCGAGCCGTCGCGCCGTCGCGCAGCAGCACTGGCGAGGTGCGCCGTTCAACACCCGCACACGCACGCACGCAAAACGGTGAGGGCATTGTTTAAACTCTTCGAGGGTGGGCGGGCCCACCCGTGATTCGAAAATCATGCGCAGAGGCGCGGGCGGGGCCCCCAGGAACAAGCCCCCTGACTAGGGCTCGTTTTCCTGTGGCCAACTGTCCCCGCGCTCCGCCGCCGCCCTCCACTCGCGAGTCAGGCGCCCGTGGTCTCGCGCCTCCTCGGGGGTCGCGACGCCGTGCGACCTGGCCACGCTTTCGAACGGCGGCGCGATGAGCGTCTCGCCGCCTGGCCGCTGCCTTGCAGCGACGCCGGCAGCTCCCACCGCAGGCGCCTGCCGCGCGGGCCCCGCGGGCTCCGCGCTGGCCGCAGCCCCTCCGCCAGTCTGGGCGCCGACGCCCGCGCCTACAGGCTCGCTGGCGGTCTCCCCCGCCGCGCCTCCCGCTCCTGCATTGGTGCCCAGCTTCTCGGCCCAGCGCTGGCGCGTGGCCGCCGTCGGGGCCTGAAGGGCGCCGATGGCTCCTTGGTCCCAGGCAGCAGGTCCTTGCCCAGGTCGTTGTGCGCCTGGGCCAGCGAGCCTGTCTTGGCCCGCCTGTCGGCGCCCTTGCGCGGGTCTCGCAGACCACGCCGCGCCATTCTGGGCGCCCTCGCATACGGGCAACACGAGGTGCGCGCCAGGAATGGCTCTGAGCTCACGCTGAGCACCTGGCCCTGCATCAGCACGTGCCCGTGGGCCCCCCACGGCCCGAGGCGGCCTGCTGGGATGCTGCCGGCGGCGCCCGGCGCGGGCAAGGCTGGCGCAACTGCTGCAGGCTGGCGCGCCGCCGACAGGATGCCAGCAGTCGGCGCTTCCCGTGCCGCGCTCTCGCCAGCTGGTCGAGGCGGGGCCGCCTGCGCCAGCTGCTCTCTCTCGTGCTGGAGCCTGCGGGCGACCCTGCGCATGACCTCGCCAGGCGTCTCGTCGCCCACGGCCTGGCCCAGGGGGCTGGGCGGCGGGGCTGCGGTTGGCCTTTTGCAGGCCGTGCGAGCCACTGCCACCTTGCCAGTCGCCTTCGTTTGCACCTGCGGGGCGCAGGCTGCGCTCGGCCCCGCGCTCGCCGCAGCCGCCGCCGTCAGCGCAGCCGCGCCTGCGGCCGCCGCCACACCAGGGCGCTGCGCAATGCTGGTCTCCGCCTCGGCCATCTCCAACGCGTCGTCGTCCATGAAGCCGAGGTCGAGGACGTCAAGCGCCCCGACGGGCCAGCAGTCGCGGCACCCGCTGTCCGAGATGCGGACCTCCATCTCGGCGGCGAAGCGCGCGGCCTCTCGGGCCCGCGGCTGTAAGCCCTCCAGCACCAGGACCCCGTCGTCCGACGCCGCCTGCAGGGCCGCCCCTTCCATGGCGAGCATGTCGGCGATCATGTTGCCGTCGCGCCCCCGGCCAGTGATCTGGCCTGCGGCCACCGCTGCCTCTGAGGTGCGGGCAGGGATGCGCTTGGCCGATACCCCCTCCGCTGCGTCGCCCACTCGAGCCCACAGGTGGTGGGCATGCAAGGAGGTGGGGCGGCAGGCCCTGGCCAGGTCCCTGATGCAGTCCACGGTGCCCTTGCAGTCGCTGTAGGTCGCGCGGGGGCCCACGATGTCCTTCAGCGGTCCTTCAGCGCCAGCGCCGCCGCGTAGTCCTCGCCTGCTCGTGCCGACTGGCTCGGCAGCAGCTCAAGCGAGACGGCGCCCCACGCCTGGGCCAAAACCTGGCCGCTGGGCGAGATCGCGATGACCGACCAGCCCGCGGTGCGCTGTGTAGGGAACTTCCCGTGGATGCAGGAGTCGTCGGCGAACGCCATCGTGCCCTCTGGAACGACCACTGGGCTCTCCCAGCCAATGTGTCGCCAAGCCCACTGCGGTCGCCAACGCGGCCTCTGCACCAGGCTGGAGGCGTCCACGAACAGGCCCTGGGCGAACAGCTCGCCGAAGAGCGGCCCCATGCTGTTAGCCACATAGGCCGCCTCCAGGAGGCGGGGAGGCAACCTGCCCCTGCGCCATGCCTGCCGCGCGAGGCAAACGAAGCGCCCGTGGAACATCGTGCCCTCGTCGCACAGGCACTGCAAGCAGAAAGGGTTGATGCCCTCCCGGTGCCTAGCCAGCCGCGCCGGGGGCCAGTGTGCCAGCGAGATCAGCCAGCGAAGGCAACCCTTGTGGCGGCTAGTCCAAACCTTGGAGCCTGCGCGGCAGCCTCCAAGACCAGAGAGACCCAGGGCGGGCACTAGCCTCCTCAAGAGCTGCAGCCTTGCGCGTCGCCTCGCGCGCCCGCTCCGCTAGGAAGAAGGGGGAGTAGCAGGCGACGTCGAACTCGCATCCTCGCTCGTCCGTTAGGCGGGCGCCTCCTGCGGTCAGCTGCCAAACGACGCGCTGGATGGCGAGCACCAGCGCCGCAATCGGGCCCCGCACCGCAGCCCAAGGCTTTTGGCAGCGCGGCAGCCGATCCGCATGCTGCAGGCAAGCCTGAACCGCAGCAGGCCAGGCCTGCTTGGCCCAGGTGGCGCTGCAGAAGGCCTGGACTGCCATGTCAGTGGCAACCACAGCGGGTCCTGCCGCCAGCCGCGCGGGGCGCACTGTAGCGCATAGCTCAGCGCCGCTCCAGGGGACAGCCTGCCAGCGCTCTTGGCCGCCGCCACTCGCAGGGCGCGCATCCTGCCAGGGGGCCAGAGGGCCTTGGCCGTTGGCCCCGTTCGCATCGCGCGGGACTGCCGCAGGCCAGGGCCGAATATGCGCGTCAGGCGGGAGGCCTGGCGCAAGACGCCCAGTCCTCTTTCCTTGCAGCTCCGCGAACGGCACGGGGCTGCGAGGAAATGGGAATGGGGCGAAGGGCGGGGGGCGGCACCGGCGGCAGAGCCGTCGCTTGCCGCGCGGCGGGCAACGATGTTTCTCCGAAGTCCCGCGCGGAGCAGCGGGCAAACGCGAATGTAACTGCAAACAGGATGGAGGGCGCGCTCGCGTTACCCCATTTTCCGCCGCCGACTCGCCCCTTGCAGTCGCGCGCCTCCGCCCGAGGAGGAATCCGCCTTCGCGACTGCACGGCGCGGGTCTGTAACAACACAAGGCGTTGGAAACGCACTTACGATCCGCTTGCGAGCCTCATCCGTTGTCATCGCTCTACCCTGCGCGCGTTAGCCCTCCTCCAAGCGCCCTTTTGGCGGCCCGACGCCGCCCAGTGCTCTATGGGGCTCCTGGAAGCAACCGCGACGGGCATGATGCGCCGCCTAGGCCGCCAAGATTGCAGAACATCGCGGGAGGAAACAACGTGTGGCTGCCAAGAATGACCGCCGCGACCCAATCAGTGCCCCGACACGGCCCCCGCGCGCGAAAACAATCACAGAATGCCGAAAGGAAAAGTTATCCCAGTGCGACCCTACCTAGGATTTGGAGCCCCTAGGAGAGCAGCATAAACTAAGCTAAGCTAAGCTAAGCTAAGCTAAGATAAGCTAAGCTAAGCTAAGCTAAGCTAAGATAAGCTAAGCTAAGCTAAGCTAAGCTAAGCTAAGCTAAGCTAAGCTAAGCTAAGCTAAGCTAAGCTAAGCTAGCCCAGCTAAAGCTAAGCTGGGATGAGATAAGCCAAGCTAAGCTAAGCTAAGCTAAGCTAAGCTAAGCTAAGCTAAGTTAGCTCAGCTAAGCTAGGCTAAGCTAGGCTAAGCTGAACTAAGCTAAGCTAGAATAAGCTAAGCTAAGCTAAGCTAAGATGAGATAAGCTAAGCTAAGCTAAACAAGGCTAAGCTAAGGTCAGCTCAACTAAGCGTAGCTAAGCTAAGCTAAGCTAAGCTAAGCTAAGATGAAATAAGCTAAGCTACACTAAGTCATCCTCCTCCTCCCGTTCCTACTCCTCCTCATCCTCCTCCTCCCCCCCCCTCTTACACCTCCTCCTCCCCCTCCTCCTCCCTTTCCTCCTCCCCCGCCTCTTCCCCATCCTCCTCCTCCACCTCCTCCTCCTCCCCTCCTACGCTCCTCCTCCTCCTCCTGCACTCCTCCACCTCCTCCTCCTCCTCCTCCACCACCTCCTCCTCCCCCCGTCCCCTCGCCTCCCTTTCTCCCTTCCTCCTCCTCCTCTCTCC